AGAAATTTAAAAATAAAACAATATATATGTACAATTTAAAATCTAACCTAAGTCTTACATAAAAGGCAGTTTTCACATTTACTATCAGTCAATTTAGAAACAAGGTCTATTCTACGTATGTTACATTTAAAAGATGATATGGATGTCAGTTCTCTTACATTTCTTGGTACAATTGCCCATATTTTGGGTCCCATATATCTAAGCGAATGTTTTCCAAAAGTGACAGTATTAAATCTAGGTATACCAAAATCATTATTACGCAGTGTGTACCTAAGTTGTGGAATTTGAAAAAGGCTACATATGTAATTAGGAGATAAATTGTTCTTTACCTTATACATAAGAATGGCTATATCCTGTAGTCTTCTGTTCTGCAGTGTACTTAGGTTAGCCATGTCTAATAATTTATCATAACTACTCCCCTTATCACAGTAAACTGCCCTAAGTGCCCTTTCTTGAATACGTTCCAATTTTCTAGTATCACTCGCCCTACAAAAATGCCAGACAAGATGGCTGTATGTTAAATACGGAAGAATGGCTGCCTTAAACAACTTCAGCTTGGTGTCTGTTGGTATCATATTCCTGAGCCTCATCAGGACTCCAACACGCTGGCTACTCCTCTTACAAATGTTAGCAATGTGTTCAATGTGTCCTATTGTCTATATATACCCCAAGAAGTTTTAAACACTTGGTAGATTTAATCAAATACAAGCTCTTAGGTAAACTTCTCACAAAAGTAGAAAAAATTCCACGCACTGCCATCTTTTTTTTGAATTTTCATATTTTGATCTCGCGCTTTCACACGTTTCTCAGAGTCAATTAGTCAATTTTTGTACATTCTTGAATTTTCTTCCTCTTGTGGAACAAGGCACTTACAATAAACAAGTGGGATGCAACAGGTGTGAATACTACCTTCTAGCATCATTACACAGCCTTTATTTTTGTTCAATGCTACAAAAAAGTTAAATATCAGTAGCCACATGCAGTCTCACACTGATGATTTCTAAATATAGTTAAGCAGTATCAGAATAATTGTCAAAAAGAGTGTTGACTCATTATAAGATATGAACGATAGAAAATATAAACTACAATTTTCTTTTTCAGAGCTAGTAATAATTCCAGGGGAAAAAAGACCAGCAGACAATGGCAATGCTAACCCACCACAGCTCAGTATGAAACTACCAAAAAGGAGTGATCTTCCTGAAACCTCTTCTGCTTGGAGCAATGTTGAACGCCCTGTTGATATTCTGTTATTAACAGTGGAAGACTGTGAGTTCTTAAGCTGCTTTGCCTACCTGAAGGAACCGTTTAAGAGTTACCACATCAGTATTGGCTATGTGTACTTTGGGTACATGGGTGATGATCAGGGAAAGAAAATGAAAATTGCATTGATGAGGTGCTCCAAAGGTTCTGATGTTCCTGGGGGCTCTTTGTCTGTGACAAAAGATGCCATATTGCTACTTAGACCCAAGGCTATTTTTTCTGTTGGTGCCTGCAGTGGTTTGAACCGCAGAGAGGTCAAGCTAGGAGATGTGGTTGTTTCAACAGAGCTGACTACATATGCACACAGAACTCCTCCCAGCAGAGATATTGGTATCCTGGTCAGACATATGGCTGATGGGTGGAAGGCACCTTTACAAAATGCTGATGAATATAATGCCAAAGTGCACTGTGATGGAGTGTTTCTGAGTATCTCAGAGGCAAACAAGGACATGATTGGCCAACATCCTGAAGCAATTGCAGTTGGAATGGAAGGTGGAGGTGAGAATCATAATATTTAAGATAATTGACGAGCCAGGGATATGTGCTCATGTAACAAGTGTTTTGAAAAACACTGCTCTGCAATTGTTCCTGGTGGTCCAGAAAATAGCACATACTATACAGCATGCCAAATTTGCAGGAATTATGTATTGTGTATTTAAAGTCATTCTGTGTCAAGCTAAGGTAGGGTAGGAAGATTTATTTTGCAGGTGAAGGTCTGAGATACCTTGCGTTTTTTCAGCTCATTTCTCTTCAGTGGGAAAAGCATGCAGCCAACCAGTTAAATGGCTTTTTTTTCAATTACAAAATAACCAACTGTACAATATAATATTGCAGGATATTTTTTACTCTATTTGCCTGTTATTTGTACTCTACTTTGTGTTATATTGATTACATGTATGAGACATGAGTTAAGGATAGTTTAGCCGTGAGTCAAATTTCTGACTCTTCCCATTATAAATTAAATGATTTGTATAACTTTGTTCTGGAAGTGTCTGCATTGTTGTAACAGTTTACAGACCACGTTGCATGAAAACGCCTGCAGTAATTACTGTACATGTACTGTAATTATTTGTGTTGAAGTGATATAGTGTTAATTTGCCTCATGAATAAGTTTCTCCAGGTGAATGTGACTGAAATGCCTTTTGCTACTTAAAAAAAAAAATTAAAAACACAAAAAAAAAATTGAAAATTGCATTGCTCTGATCATTTTAAACCCATTATTATTGCATCTGGTGATGGTGCTCTATTAGCTACATTTATGTAGACATAAATTGTCAAGAGTGCCTTCTGGTTGCATTAGTGAGCTTCAGGTAGTAACTAACCTTCCCCTGAAGTTGTCTGTTTTGAATATTTTCAAATTGCACAAGAGCTATAATTTTTTCAATTCTTACTTGAAAAAATAATGATATTGATAGTGCAAAGAAAAGATGCATGTAAACTGCAGTGATTGTAACTGACATGATAGTTTTTTTTCCCAGATGTGTTTGCAGCAGCCCATGATTTGAAAACAGAATGGGTGGTGGTCAAGGGAATCAAAGACTTTGTAGATGACAGTCATGAGTCATCAAGTGAGAAATGGAAACAGATTGCTTGTGTGATGGCAGCATCTCTTGTGGCCAACATTTTGAGTGATTCAATTGTATTCCAACATTGGCCTAACTTTGATGCAGGTATGACTTCCTTTCTTAAACTTTCTTTTCTTTCATGAACAGATGTGATTGTGATCTGCATATTCCCATTTGTATCACAAATCAATATAACTTTCTCAGTAAAAGTTTAGGAATAGGAAATCAGCCAAGTTTATCTTTTTTACCATTTTTGTGTTCCATTATGTTCATCAAGTCCTCAGTAGTTCCTTGGGGAGAAACTGTTGGGTGTACCGAGGGATGCAGTAATGAATGACAGTTTATTCCATAATCCTGGAGAAAACATGTACATGTAAACTATTGTTGGCTTGGTTAATATATCACAGCTACAGTATTAAAAATAAGGGACTCTCGAAATTTGTTGAATTTGTCTAAATCAACTTATCTTGATTTGAAGTGAGTTGATATATATTGCTGGGCCAATTTGCAACACATTGAATTATCTCAAAAGGTGTTATCCAGTACTGCATGGATTTGATCTTGAAGCTTTTCATTTCTGATTAATGCCATTGCTCTTGGCTATGATTTGGCAACCTTGTATGAAACCTGAAATTGGCCCAATATTATTTTGAGATGAATGAGTCATTAAATTTGAAGTGAATTTTCTTAGAAAAAATTGTTTTAAACTAACAAAATTTAATTCCTTTATTATTTTATTTGGGAACTAATGAATTACTTCCTCAAGGTAAGTTTAACTTGTTTTGATGAGTGAAATAAGTTGTGTGGTAACTTGCAGGTTTGCTGATGTTTTTTCCTTGACTGTGTAATTATATAATGATTTCTGCATCATGGGTTGTAACAGACTTTTTAGATTCTTTCCTTTCTGTCGCTTTTGGTCTATAGGTTTTCTTTTTTTCTTTGTGGGACAAACCCAACAGACTCTAAGGCCCCATTTATATGGTCCCGGGTACCCAAGACAACCCTCCACCCAGGCCAACTCTCTGGAGCGCTTATATGAAATTTGACACCTTGTATTTAAAAATGTTTGAAAGGTGTTACCTAGTATAGCCAAAATAATCTGCATCACACAGGTCACATTTGAATTTGCAGACAGCAAAAATTGAAAGAAGCACACTAAGGTAATCATCGTTGGAGACCCAGGGATAGGGGAATCATGAGGCCTTTAAGCTAGGCCCTCTAAATTAATATTATATTACTATTGTTATCATTATTATCATGATTATTTGTTACCATTTAATTACTGGTTGAGAGTAATTTAGCCAATTTTTGTTCATTCTTGAGTCCTCTTCCTCCTGTGGAACAAGGTACTCGTAATAAAAAAGTGGGATGCAACAGGTGTGAATACTACCTTCTAGCATCANCCAATATTATTTTGAGATGAATGAGTCATTAAATTTGAAGTGAATTTTCTTAGAAAAAATTGTTTTAAACTAACAAAATTTAACTCGTTTATTATTTTATTTAGGTACTAATGAATTACATCCTCAAGGTAAGTTTAACTTGTTTTGATGAGTGAAATAAGTTGTGTGGTAACTTTCAGGTTTGCTGATGTTTTTTCCTTGACTGTGTAATTATATAATGATTTGTGCATCATGGATTGTACCAGATTTTTTAGATTCTTTCCTTTCTGTCGCTTTTGGTCTATAGGTTTTCTTTATTTTTTTGGGGGGACAAACTCAACAGACTCTAAGGCCCCATTTATATGGTCCTGGGTACCCAAGACAACCCCCCCCCCCACCGGGCCAACTCTACGGAGGGCTTATATGAAATTTGACACCTGCTGACCTTCGATCGGCCAGGCCAGGTTATATACAGTGGAACCTCGATTAAACTAACCTCTTTATAACGAAGTCCTCGGTATAACGAACGATACTTCAGTTTCAACTCGGCTAAAATTACAGTAAAATGTATGCTACAAAACCTCAATATAACCACTAACTACTAACTATGATATAACGAACCCTCGATACGAGGAACCAATTTACGCAGTCCCCTAGCACTTCGTCAAATCGAGGTTCCACTGTATCAGACAGAATGGCGTACGACAGGAGAAGACTGGCTGTAATACGCACAGACTCTGGTTATAGCGTGCGCACGCGTTATCTGTTTGAGTTGTCTCATCACGGGTGGGCGAGACAAGGTGTTTACATGGGAAAAAGTTGTCCCGGGATTTGAACTTGCTAAAATGTACTTTTCCAACTCTCACGCTCGTTTGATTGGTCAGAGTGTTCAGCGGTCATTTTTATCAGGTTTTTGGCGTATTCATTATGAATGAGGGTTTATGGTGGACCAGATGTGGACGAAAGTCGTAAAAGCAACCGTATGGGGGAATTCCGTTTTTTAAAATGGATCTTCCGCATTGACCTCCGACGTAATGCGTATCGGTACAATTTTCATTGGCAAACAAAACAAAACAAAGCAACCAGTTAGAATGCGAAAAATCCCCAGACGGTTTTAAAAACCATTTACTTAGGATTAAAACTGTGCACAAGTTTTATTGGTGTGGTCAGTTTAGATATGAGATTAATTCTCTGAAAGAAATATCGTCCATTTCTAATTGCCGCGCCCCATTAAGTTTACGATTAGATCAAGCTAGAACGAAATCGTTTTTACCGGATAATGCATTTCATAGCATTTCCATTGATATGTAGTTTATGGTGGTTGTGCTTCAAATAGCGTGTTGAAAATTTTTTTTGCAAAGGACATCCACGCCATCTCTCCTTGTCCTTGAAGGTTTTAATATTCCATTTATTAAATTCTTCTACTACCAAAACTGACTTTTTTGTTTCATAATCAACTATGATGAGCTAAAGTAGCACTACACCGACTGATCATAGCTTCAATGGTTTCCCAAATCAAAATCCCTTTACCATAAACGCTCCCTAGAGTTCCTGTCATGCCTATTAACTAGTTTTATAACATAACCAAAGTAAAGCGCGCGCTCTGATTGGTCAACTATCGCCTCAAGCGACTCTTACACTTCTTTCGTGCTTAGCAACCTCCCGCGTGCATCCATAACTCAATAGTGTACGCTGTGGTGTTTACCATTTGTTAATTGGTCTTTATGTTAATGTAGAAACAATGGAGCAACAATGCATCATCCCAGTTGATGCCCATTCAGCCCACGAAATAGGACTGACCGGCTTATCTATAAACCTTCCCAGGGTTGGAATGGATTGGGAGTTAGGTATCTACATGTTTTCTTCGCAGTTACGTTATATCATTAAATTTCATACTCAAAATAACTAGTACAATCGAATCTTGCCATTTTAAAATAATTTATTACTCTGACTGTTATTTCAAAATAAAATCCATTTTCCCCTAAGTATTTTCAGTTGTTAAAAAATCTTTTCAGCCTTAGCTCCTGTTATTTCCAACAGTCTTTAGCTGTACCAATATGGCATTATAACGAAAGAAAATAATTCATAGCGAAAACATGGATGCGAGCTGTCCCTTTGAGCCCTTTGATTATTTTTCAGATAAGCTGTAAAGTGATGATAATAGTAATACTGTTCATGTTTCTGAGCATGTTTATTTTGGGCCTTTCCCAGACTCATTTTAACCCTTACCTAGCGGCGTGGGCTAAAATGACTCTAAGTCGGAGCTCTTTTACGAGCTTTTCAATCAGGCAGAGTAAGACCAAGTGTTCAAAGTCTGTCTTGTCAAAAGCTTGTGTATTCATTGCCCTATCCTCGAAATAACGGGGAGTATGAATTTTAACTACCTAAACTACTTGTCCCTGTGTTCAGATTATTTATCAAGAATTTCCCTTTTTGTGTTTCAGCCATAAGAGAGTATACCACAGCCCTAAAAACTTCCATTATGGACCAAACGGAGTTCCAACCCAAACTGCTTGCCTCTCACACCATTTCCAACGCGAAAACAGATGAAATATTCACTAATCTTCTCATACAACATGGAAGAAAACCCCTCCCCAGGAATGACGAGACATATTCAAGGAGTGAAGACCTTGAGTATTTCGGAAAAGTCAGCGGTACTCCAGTTAAGCACTGGGTACTATATAAAGAACCGTGCTGA